GAACGTCACCCTGCACTCGATCACAAACAGAGACAGAGGAGCACATTCAGAAGGTCGATCGTTCGAGCCTGCCTGTCAACTACAACACTTGGACTAGTCAGCTGTTCTGCTTCTGCTACTGGTACAGAACTGTGTGTGTTCTTCCGTGGTTCAATCAGTTTCTGGGGTGTTTGGATCTCAGGGCTAACAATTAGTTTAGCCCTCATGCTAAACAAGCTAAAGGGTGCTAATTTTTACCCTCCTGCTGAAAAGCAATTTATTTGTAGTCTCCCCGCGCTTGTGTTCAGTGGCTAAGTCTGAATAGTGAAGCCTAATCTTGCTCTTGTCACTCTGGTCCATCTTTTGCTAAGATTTGAGCACAGGACAGCCGTGTTTGGCTTGACAGGTGATCTTGATGAACTGACTTGCAGGAGTATACAACCTAGACGCTCATGTAGTCCGTATCAAACTACTATACTACAGGCCGCAAGTTGGAAGCTCACACAGGTGATTAGGTGAACTGCCAGAGTGACGAGCTGAGATCAGCAAGCTGGCCGAGTGCAAGGTGTACCGTGTACGACCGCAAGAACCCAGATTCCAGAGGGGGCTAATTGCACAGCGATCGTGATCGATGTATTGTTTCGGGTGATGGTGATCTGATTAACCAAAGCGCATGCAGCGGTAAAGAAATTGGATTAGTTAGCTGATGAGGAGGGATGTTACCAGCAGGCGATGAAGCAGATGCCGGACCATGCCCGGCGGCGGCCCGGCGAGAGCGCGCGGCCGCAGCAGAAGCAGCGGGTGGCGACCATGGCCACGGCCTGCGCGGCCAGCAGCAGCAGCAGCGCGCTGACGCCGTACGCCGTGGACGCGTCGGAGCTGTACACGCAGTAGGCCCGCCCGTACGAGTCCACGTTCACGTAGGCCTGCGCGTTCGTGCGTGCACGGTCGATCGGGTCGCGAATCGAATGAATCGAAAGAAACAAGGCAGCAGGCTATATATGAAGCGAGCGAATAGAGCTGAGCTGCTGACGTACGTAGCTCCGGCGGCGCTCGGCGCCGATGGCGAGCACGAAGGCGAGGACGTCCAGGACGAGCACGACGGCGATGACGATGATGGACGCCATGGTCGTCCGATCGAGCTAGGCTAGCTAGCTTGAGGAGGATTTAGCTATTTCTCGCCGCCGGAGACTGGCCGGGCTCACTCGCTTTCCTTTTCCACCGTCGTCGGCACAGAGACAAAGGTAGTAAAGAGAGGATGGGATGGGATTAGGTCGAACAACGGGCGATGGATGGAAACTGGAAAGCAGCGGGTTAGCTTAGCGAGGTGGTGGATCGTGGTGCGGCGAAGGCGATGCGGCTCTGACGTTGACGCGCTAGCTAGCCAGCTGCCCAGCTTGCTCAGCGCTGCCTGCCGTGCGGTGCGGGGCGTCCCGCTCGCGACTCGGGTCGGGTCCGGTCGGGTGCACCACCTCCCGTCCTCTCGTCGACGCCGCGGTCCCGACGTGATTAGCCCCCGGCCCGCCCAGATTCTCCTCTCGTTCTCGCATTATTGATCTGATCGATCGGGCATTCGGGCTGGAGGCTGCGCGTTGGAACGTGGCGAGGCGGCCGGTGCCACCGGGGGTGGGGATCACACGTTGTTGCCGCATGGTACTGTGCTATTCCTCCGGTCTCAGAAAAAAGAATATATAACTCTAGAGAATAGCGCAAAATATATAGCTCTAGAATAGCGCTAAGCCAAAAAAAAAACAAATTTATAAAAAAGATATTGATATTTATTTAATAAGTAGATAAACATTATCAGATTCGTCATATCATAAAACAAATATGTCTTCTTAGTTTACCGGTTTTGGATCATGCATCCTAACAACCGAGTGCTGTATAGGATTTCTCTATCTATTGTTTTTTTATAAATCAGGTCCAATTTATGATAGGTTATTAATTTTGACTACAACTACAGTTACATTCTTTTGGAACGGAACGGAGGACATCAGTAATCTTCCTTCTATACTAGGCGAAGAATTTGCTTGCCAAAGTTGAGTGGCATGCAGGCGCCTGCTTTCCGCTCCGTTGTCACGCGTGGTCAAGTGCTCGCACCTTTTCTTTTCGTTGCCTCGGCCTGCTAGTGTGCGCTTTGCGACTTCGCGCGACGGCCTCCGTCAGGTCAGGTCACCGGGGAAACGTACGTGTCCATCAGATGGAAGGCATGGATCGGTGGCGACGACGAGCTTGCGACGCGTGCAAAACGCACTTGATTGACGGCAGGGTGTGGGAAATGGACGAAAGGGACACAAGAGCGTCCGGACAGCTGACTGCGCCGCGCGCAAAATCAACGAGCGAACATGCCGAGTGTTTGCTTGCAACGCGTGCAAAACGCACTTGATTGACGGCAGGGTGTGGGAAATGGACGAAAGAGACACAAGAGCGTCCGGACAGCTGACCGCGCCGCGCGCAGCCGGATGCCGGATGCTCCAGCCTGGGTCTGGGTTGACGTGTTGCCAAGTATCGTTGGACCTGCACTTGGGTCGTCGCCGGTCCGAGTCTCGATCACGCGCTAAAATGTGCATAGGTTCCGATGAATAGCTTATTGGATTGTTTCGATGCTAACGGATTGGATTTTCCTCGCGAAAAAGTAACGTATTGGACTTTTTAACGTTTCTTTGAAATATCCAAGTTATTTTGTTTCGATAACGTATTGGATTGTTCGGGCACATTTTTAGATGTTCCCTAATGTTTTTGGGTGTTCCTTTGATAAAGTTTTTTTTTCTAAGAAGCACAATGCATATATTATTCTATGTTACAAATGAAATATAATAAATTGTCGGGTGTTTATATAAAAAAAAGTAGTAGAGAGTCATAAATTTAAGCAGCACATGCTTCATCCGTCCGTCCATGGATATAACAATTTTCATGTTTTCTAAGAACAAATTAGCAAGATCGACAGCGCAAATAGCACGGCTAGAACTGTTATTGTTATTAAAAAAAATTATGATGCATTTTTCTTTTTTTCTTTCGCTTGGCAAAGAATTTAGATATCAAGCTCTTCTTTTATTTCCGAAAACTCTACAACATGAACATAATTTTATTATCATTGAATTTCCATAATGAACTAGACCAAGCTAGTTTTATAAAACTTGTTAGCCGCCACAAAGAGATAGGTGAACCATGCCTGACATGTGTTCGCTGCAAGCGAAGTTGCCCAATGTATCTCTGCAACTTGCATCCTGCCCTCCATTTGTTAATTAAGTTATTTGCATGTACCCTTTATTTAGATATTTTGATGTCTAATCCAAACATAAAACTAGATATCATTTTTTCATTTTAAATTTAGTTAATTTTTAGTTGTGTTTGTCATAAATTATTTAGGTAACTGGTTTACATTATTATTGAGTTTTTATTTATTGTACCTCCGCATATATAGCAAAAAAATACCAAAAGAATTAAATATAAAAAATAACCACAAAGATTACATATAATTAAAAAAGGAGAAGAATGAAAAATAAAGAAAACGAGCTGATGTTGGGCTGTTCATATTCGCAGGCCCGTTACTTGGCCTATACGGGCTGGCCCATTAACTTCCTCATCGTTTACTCTCCAGCTTCTTTCCTTGCGGTGGGCGACGGGGCGAGCGGCGACGCCCTCTTCGTCGGGTCCTTCGCCGGCGACGAGCACCCACCTGGTACGCCCTTCCCTGCCAGCCGTACGAAACCGAGCACCCCAAACTCTAAGCTAAGCTATTTTACCCGGATCTGATCCAGCATGTATTATTATTATACACATTGACTTCGATTCTTTGAAAAACTTGTCCTGTACTCGTACTGGATCCACCCCTGTATGTAATGTGGAGGGAAGCTTGCAGCTTCTGTCTATTTTGATTCACAATGTCAAGTGCACCACTGGGAGTATGTTATGGAGTTCGAGGAATCGGGGTTAGTCACGAATCTGCGATTTGTGCTCAATTTGATTAGGGCTGCAGTATGTCGAACACATGAATTATGGTTAGCGACGAATATGAGATTTGTGATCTAGATTTTTTTGCTTTAGTTTGCAATCGAACATATTTACTGCAGTCTGTATGCTCTGGGGGTGTTTTGGTACCTGGGACGGGAGTTCTGATGCGGGCTAGGTGTGTCCTTAGTGGATGCTACGTTTCTTCCCTCATCGGCTTCATACTCTTATTGGATAGTGCCCACCGCCCACTCTAAGTGTCCTTAGTGGATGCTACGTTTGGTCTGAGAGATTGACAGGCTGTGTATCATCTGATCAATTTTCCCTTTCTATGTAATATATATAATGCTGATTTAGCTTTGGAGGGAACTGTCAGTCTACTGATTATCTGTTTCCACCCATCAATTTTTGTTGCACATTTAGCAACTATGGTAGGGTTTTTGTTTCATGTTTTTTCCTCAAGGCTCATGATTGATTGATATGAACAGATAATCTGGAAGATACATGCGCCAGATGTGTCAATCACAGAGATAGTAAAGCTGGCGAACTGGGCGTAAGAGATGGTAAGTTGTTAGTTTTCACTTGCTAAATCAACATGGTGGATCCAAGTTTTTCTCGAACCACAAGAACTATTCACTAACTACTCTTTAGTTTGTTCCCGTGCTAGATAACAGATCTGGTTTTGAGGAGCCCTTTAAAATTTCTGGGATGTGGCAATGCTCCATTTGCACGCATGTAAATACTACAGATAATTTATCTTGTGAGCTATGTGGTGTACTTCGTGATCTCTCACTGTATTTCAATAATATCAGTGAAGCCGAAGATGGAGGTATATAGCAATTGTTTTATATTATATTCTACTACAGTGATGCAATATAATTAATTCTGTCTAGCATCTTAATTTAGTTACTTCTCCCTCCTGAAATCTAGCTAAATGCAGACACAAGTATTCTGGAGTATCCGTACTCGCAAGATCTCTTTTTACACCATCTAGTACAAAGTCAAAGGCTATTGTTTTCTCTGATGGTTTTGAAGACAGTAGAAATACAACAGGGAATAAGCAAGCTACCATGGATGCTCTACATAAGACATACATGACTCGCAAAAAGCGCCACATTTACATAGGTATGCTACATAGTAAATTGAGGCGTTCTTTACTTTGTCTGATTTTTTGTTGAACGACATAATCCAAACTCTTATTGCTCTAAGTGTACTATCCTATTTTAGTTATTAGCATTAATAAGATATTGCAAGCGGTAGAGTCTTACCGCCTGTGACCGGAAGGTCCCGGGTTCGAGTCGCAGTCTCCTCGCATTGCACAGGTGAGGGTAAGGCTTGCCACTGGCACCCTTCCCCAGACCCCGCATAGAGCGGGAGCTCTCTGCACTGGGTACGCTCTTTTTTTAACTGTACAGAGTCACTGTATGCACTAGCAGTAGCAGACTTTGTTGAATAAAGCCAATACGGTAGTAACTATGTCAATCAACTTGCAGATTTATGTTCTGGTAATAATAACCTTAAGCCAGCTCTCGGCATCTTATATGGGAAATTGGGAGCATGCAAGTGGTCTATCTGACTAATGGGTCTTAGAATTTTATTATGAGGGTTTGGATTTGAATTATCATAACTACATTTCTATACAGAAATTTGCAAGATGAGCTTATAATATGTCAGCTCACGGAATGTGCTTTATCTAGGCCTAACTCGTGTTCTGTTCCCTTGTAATTTGGATAAATCTCTTTTGTTTTGGGGGGTGGGGGGATATATTGTAGTTTTGTAGAGTGTGGTCAGGCACTCCTCTTACCTTTTCTTACTGCCCACTTGATATTTTGTTTCATTTGCTTATTTATTTTCACAGTAAAATGAACTGGAACATGACTGCATTATGTTGATATTGACAGTGCCTTTCAAGTTTGATACACCATCTCCAGATGACATGGTCATTACAGGCTTAAAATCATCCAGAAACTTTAGAAAAGGTATTCTTTGCAATGCTCTCCCCCTCTATTTACAGTTGAACATCAGACTACTTCAAATGCATGCAACATTTTATGTGTGGATCCTTTCTTTGTCAAATTTTTCATTATTTTGTGAAGCCATATAAATTTCTTCCAAATTAACCCGAATTTGATAAATTTCATGTTTATGATGGAGAATGAGTCTGATCAAACAGAAGACAAAATTTGTCTTTATGATTATGAACCATGGACAAATCTTGTGGCTCTTTGTTTTTTGACCCCTTGAGAAATTGCTCAAATGGTGCTAATGAATGTTATGTTTGAGCTTCCAGTTTTTGGTTATGTATATCTTTCTATCGTTCCATATTGACTTAAATGTATATACCAGTTGACACAGAGGTTCTAGTTAAAGAGTCTGTTGACGTGACCGGAAAGGAGATGACGGATAATGATATTCTTCTAACTGAAAAGAGTACAAGCATGGACCCAAGTGCATCAGTACAATTGGATGAAGTTGGTGGAACTACTAGCAATGTTCCTTCGAGTAGTCAAAATATAACTCTTGTTTTGGACCATAAGCTGCAGCATTTGAGTTTGGAGAGGAAACCGAAGAACAGTAAACCCAATATTAAGAAAGCAGCTTCTGTTTCACACTACAAGCCAGAACCATGGATGCTCCAGAGTGAAGATCAAGAAATCCGTAAACAGCTAAGTCTTGCCATTGTAAGCAACAATTGCATATATCTTTTTCAATTGTTTACATGTAGATAATTGATTTGTTCTGCTCAAGTTTGACTTGACCGAAACGATTTGCTAGGTTGGTCATGTTGATTCTGGGAAATCAACTTTATGTGGTCGATTACGACATGCTTTGGGATTGATTTCAAAAAAACAAATGCATAAATATGAGAAAGAAGCTAAAGAAAAGGTCAGTTCTGTTATTCAGATTGCTAGCGCATCTCAGCCTGTACTTCTATGCATCTCTAGCTGTTTATATTTTTACAATGCTTGTTCTGACAGGGGAAAGGGTCGTTTGCATATGCCTGGGCTATGGATGAGAGCAGTGATGAGAGGGAGCGCGGCATTACAATGACTGTGGCTGTAGCATACTTCAATAGCGAAAACTACCGTGTGGTTTTGCTTGACTCCCCTGGTCACAAGGATTTTGTTCCTAATATGATATCTGGTGCTACACAAGCTGATGCAGCCATCCTAGTTGTTGATGCATCTATAGGCTCATTTGAAGCTGGCATGGGTGTTAATGGAATTGGTCAGACAAAGGAACACTCACAACTTATTAGGAGCTTTGGTGTTGAGAACTTGATAGTTGCTATTAATAAGATGGATGTGGTGGAATATTCGAAGGAGCGGTTTCAGTCCATTAAATTGCAACTTGGTATCTTTCTTCGATCATGTGGTTACAAAGACTCTTCAGTTACCTGGGTTCCTTTGAGTGCAATGGCAAATGAAAATTTAGTCACAGCTTCTTCAGATTCTCGTCTTCTATCATGGTAAGATAGTTCTAATGATGGCCCTCTATGCGCATCACTTTTCCCCCCAGACTTCGCTGTTGATCATCAATTTATTGATGCCTGATGTCAGGTACAATGGAGATTGTCTGCTGAAAGCCATTGACTCATTACCTCCTCCCCATCGTGACGTTTCAAGGCCACTGCGCCTTCCAACATGTGATGTTATTGCATCTCACACGCTGGGTCAGGTGGCTGTTTGTGGTAAAGTAGAGTCTGGAGGGATCCGGACTGGCTCTAAGGTACCATTCTGATGTTATGTTTGGCAATGTATGAAGAGTTGATTTGTATAGTTGCCTCTTGTTGTGCAGAAGATTTGCTTACGGTTGTGCTATCAGTTTATTCGCTTTCCTGTCCTGTCTGATTACCTGCTAAACAACATATTTTCTTTATATGTTTGCATGGTCAAGCTAGCTATAATATCTGCATTGTTCTTGTTTTATATTTACAAGCTGCTCAGTATGTTATTTTGATCATGAATATTCTGCTATCAGGTTCTTGTCATGCCTTCTGGAGATATAGCTACAGTAAGAACCATTGAGCGGGATTCCTCTACTTGCAACTTGGCTAGAGCCGGGGACAACGTTGCCATTGGTTTGCATGGGATCGACCCTGGCCATATTGTGTCAGGTGGAGTTCTTTGCCATCCAGATTTCCCCGTGCACATCGCTTCTCACTTGGAGCTGAAAATTCTGGTTCTAGAAATCACCATGCCAATACTGGTTGGTCTTCAGGTTAGTGGAACAGCACAACAAATAGCATGCCAAGTATAAGTTTGGTACGATCTTCTTATCTGTTGTTTCCATCATATATTATTCTAGTTTGAGCTGCACATACATCACGCCAGGGTGTCTGCGAGGTTGGTTAAAATACTGTCGTCGTTGGACCAGAAGACTGGCAAGGCCTTAAAGAAAATGCCACGTTTGCTCACCGCGAGGCAGGCCGCCGTGGTTGAAGTAAGACGAAGTCACATGAAATCTAGCGTACAAGTATTCACTATTCAATTCGAGGATTTTATTCTCTAATATAATCGTTGGCAATGTTTATTTATTCTCTGTCTTCAGGTGAAGCTGGACAGAGAAGTGTGTGTGGAGGAATTCTCGACGCTGAAGGCCCTTGGACGGGTGTTCCTGCGGTCTCAGGGTAACACTGTTGCGGTGGGCATTGTGACTCGAATTCTGGATCAGGCTTTTGACCTCGCCTAACCAGACATCTCACGTACACGGTGTGTTATGTTGTTGAGCTTGTCAATAGATGTGTATATATGTGACTTCAGACTAGTACAGTAGTACCTGTCATGGGTCATTTTAAACCACGCTGAGCCATGGTGATCACCTTTTGATCCTTTTCCTAATTCTATTTATCATTTATCATTTATCATAATCACATCCTCACTCAGCTTGTTCAGCTCCCCGAGCGGTACTCTTGTGCGCTGAAGTGCTGGCCGGCAGCAGCCAGGCAGACAGACATAAGCTTGAGTTGAGTGGAGGATAGCAGGCCGCGGCATTTACCCAAAGGCAAGTTGCGCCGCAACCCATGCGGCCGCCTTGCCTGCCTGCCTGCCTCCTCGTACGCGGCTAGCTGCATTACCCCCGTAGACCGCCGCGCAACTCGCCTTGCTGGTCGCGTGATGAATCGTCGCCCCGCGGCCCGCGCGCGGAGAAATTATGAACGTCACGCGCGGGGAGGCAGCAGGGGCAGGTGAGGCGCCCGCGCGGGGTGCATGTGATCCTCCTCCCAGTCCCAGGTGGTCTCCTGGATTGGCCAATGGGGCAATGGCACCCGGGCGGGTCAGGAGAGGGAGGGACCGCGCGCGCCCGCACGGCTGCCAATTCACCTTTCGGCGCCCAACGATCCCTCCCGCGCGTCCTCGGCCCGTTTCCCTTGTAAAACACCGCCAAATCAGGCGCCGGCTGGGCGGGATTTCTGTCCGGAGCACACGAGTTCCGTCCACCGCAGCGCGTACGTGCGAGCACCCATTGTTCCGGCAAAAGCAAAGCAAAGCAAGAGCGGTTGGTAGGCCGCGCGGAGGCCGGATGGGAGGGGAGGATCCGCACGGTGCAGAGGACGGTCAAAGGCGACGCGAATAAAATCCTCGCCTCGTCGCTAGCGGCTAGTTTCTTCTCCCTTGGCCGCTCACGCGACCGCAACCGGGGGCTGCTGGTGGCGCGTCAATTCAAGGAATCCGATGCGCCGCGACCGGGGCGCGTCGCCGTCAGGGCCTCCGGTCGCTTGCTTGTGCCTGTACGCCCCGGGCCGGCCGGCCGTTCGCTTGTTGCAATCCGTCCCTGCGTCCGTCGCTACCACCGCGCGGGCTACTCATATTTTTCCAAGGGCGCACCGACACACACATGCGTGCTACTGCTACTGATCGATCGACCGGGCCGGACCTGGGTCGGTCGGGTCGTCCGTCGTCCAACACGCCACGCACACTGTGACGTGCAGATGTGCAGTGCGCTGCTGTAATCGTAATATTGTAAGACTCCAGGCCACACGTCCACGCCGCAGAGCGCAGAAGCGTACGGCAGGCACCGCAGCTGGGGGCTGGGGTCGGCATGTGTTGAGTGAGCTGTGATTTCTGCCGGATTAGCCTAACGATAGCCTTGGCCAGCGACTCGTTTCGCAGAATCTTGTCTTGGCCTCTTGGCATCCATGTTTCGTTTGGTGGAACGGAAGCAGAAGCTCATCCACATCACATGGGAGTTGAATTGGGATGGGATCGAGCGCGGCCCGCGCAGCATGCACAATCATCGGCCACCGCCGCCGCCGCCGGGCTGCCAGCCATGTGGGTGGCGCCTGCCTGCCTGCCTGCGTGCATTGTGCAGCTGTTAAAAGGGTGAGAGGGCATGCAACACGCATCATTCGTCCTGACGCTGACGGGCCCCTTCGTCTCGTCCCCTGGCCCCTGCAGCTGCAAATCCGCAATGATCCGCCCTCCCGGGAGCCGGGACGACGGCATGTTGGCATCCTCTGCTCTCCTCTCCGCTGTGTGCCCCCAGTCCTGCTGCTCGGCCTCGTTCGACCGGTAAAATTTTAGCTGAAACTGGCTGAAAACACGATTATAGCTGAATTATTATTAGAGAAAAACACTCTTTTCAACTTAAAAAAAAGTCGAACAAACTGGAATATGGGGGTGAACGGGGTGCAACCCAGTACTCCTTACAGCAGCCCATCTTCGCCTGCTTGCTTCGCGCAAAGCTGCTCGTGTACCATGTCATGTCCCGGTTAGTAGAAAGTCGACCTCCTCTCGTTTTCGAGCTCGAGACGGCTGCTGGCAGCGGCAGGTTCGTTGAGGTCGTTGTACTTGCCGGTCGCTTTGCTGCGTCAGTGCGTCACCACAGCTCAGCTGCTGCCTGCCTTTTTCTTCTCTGGAACGAATGGAATGCTTGCCAAGCGCTTGGAAAGTAGTAGTAGTATGCGTTGGGACGGCGGAGACGCCCTTTTTGTCCCCGTAGTACGTACGTTCTGCTCCGTCAGCGACTCCACGCAGTCGGTGAAAGCGCCTAGGCTACCAAACGTCGTATCGTATTCGTATCAGCCTCACCCTCACACATGCAGACATCGACATCGAGTTAAATAGACCCGTGTCCCGTGTCCGTGTGCACCTACTGTGTATACAGCACGTTGCACCAGAAGGGCATTCCCAACATAGAAATTACCATAGTTTTTATGGACATTAATTATACTGTCATCTAAACGTTTTGCTGATGTGGCAAGGTAGTTATTGAAGAGATAGGACAAAAATCGTAGAAACCGGGTCTAAGTTAGAAACCATGTCTACACGAGAACCAAGACATGAAGGGATATGATTGATAGAGAATGGAGAGATAATGTATGTGATTGGTTAAAAAAATGTTATGTAAAAACTATTCATTGAGACCATGGTTTCTATATAGTGCCTATAAAAATTAATAAGTATATAAATTAATATTGGGACTACCTAAGCATTCAGCAAGCAAGGTTAGTTATCTTATCTCTCTCAGCACATGCAGCTCTCACTGCTACTACATCACCAGCAATTTAATGCAGTGTTGTAAAAACTTATCGAGGTAAGCAAGTGCCGGGCTGCTGAGATTCTACTACCTGTACCCCATTCCTGGCTTTTTGGCGAGGCATTTGTGTGCGAGCACGGCGTGGCATCGCACGTGTGGATTCGGCGCGCGGGCGCGGCGGAACAGGACTACAGGAACAGGAGCCGAGCATAGGGGTGGTTTGCCGTTGCCGGTTTCCCCCCACCCCGGGCCCCCGCGTGCTACCACATCGAGATGGCTTGGATTACTGGACTCGGCCGGGAGGAGTGGGTGGTGCCGTGTCGAAATGGAGTGGCAAGCAACGACCAACCGTAGGCAGGCCTGGGCTCAGCATGCCCGGATGGAGCCGTCTCTCTCTCAGCACACGGTCTCGCGTCTTCGTCCTTGCAACAGTGCTGGTCCGCCCATGGTCCGTATGACCGTGCATGTATGCGCACATGGCGCCTACCTACGGTCTTCTCGTCCACACAGCTACCAGTATGCATTATGGAGTACATTTTATACCGAGTGCATGCATGTTCCTCTGTAGTCCGTGCCACGTTTTTTCTGGTCCAAGAAGGGACTACGGGAATAGGCGATACGCCTGGTCTATACGCATCCTGTTTCAAAATAGAGGTCACCTTGTTTTAAGCTAATTCTTTTTACTTTGACTGAAAAGCTATATTAACATATATATGTTCCGTTTTTTTTCCGACAAAATTCCATAGGTTCCTCCATTATCAAGACATATATCACGGATGATTTCATAAAGCTAATTTGACGCTGTTAGTTAAACTTGAAATCGAGGGAGACATGCAAACTTGTAACTAGTGTTATTACGAACATAAAAAATATGCAGGCAAATGGCCATGCAGCGATTTGGATTTTTTCAACGAAAAAAAAGGAGAGGAGACGCGCCAACAGACAAATTTACCGGGTCTTTCATTTCGGTTCCATCCTAATTTTTCTCGGCAAGACAACTGAACTACTGCTAATCATGAAGCCACCACTGAGCTGGGAGCTGACCTTCTTTAATTATTATTATTATTATTATTATTAGTCATCACATCTTATGGTAAAAACATCCTCCTCCTCGTCAGTGTACTACTTGGAAATTAACTAATTGCATATGTAACCAATGTGTCTCTATTCGGTAGAGTTTCGGCCGGTTCTGGCACCTCCGTGAATCGCAGAAGCTGTTTTTATTTCTTTCTAGAATAAGTTGAAACTATATGAAACTATTACTTTTAGCTTCACCGGTTTTAAATTCTTTGCACACTGCAATAAGGAGTCAAAACCATGCTAAATAAGGTTTAACTTAAAATTCAGATGGAGTGCACATAAGTACCACGTGTATTCTCATGGACTCCGCTCCAACAAAAAGGTCGCTTTGCTGAAAAACCAGCTTGAAAAAGATTGTTCGCTAATTTATTGTGAGAGAAAATACTATATCATAGCTGATAAGCTCGAACGAACAATGCACGCCGAGCACCACAAAATGATTTACGTGGACCCTAGCATAACACTCGTGAAAACAAAGGAACCACTGTGAATCCCTCCGCGCTGTCCAGCACGCTGCGTTCAACCAAGTGCAGGACATTTGTCACCCCAATGATTACTCCTTACCTAATTTGGTTAGACCAAACGTTCAGATGTGTTTGCTTAATTGTCGATGATGGCGTATATAATCTTATCCTAGTAGTGTGTAAATGGCTCGATACACAGCTCATCTGTCACGTGTTTAACGAATAAACGAAACTAGTATTTCACGTGAAAATTTTATACTCACTCAATATCAAAATATAAGAGATCAAAATTTATCCTAAATAACTTGTGTTTGAATTTGATTAAGTTTATAAAGAAAACTATTAATATCTACTATATCAAAGGTGTAAATTATGAATTGTTATTTCATAATAATGAATCTAGCGATGCTGATTTGGTGCCTACATATTATTGTTCTGTTCTAAAAATTCAGTTAAACTTAGGACATATTTCGATCCTTATACTTTAGGATTAGGATGGAGAAAGACAGAAAGTACGTTGAAAAAGGTTTAGATAATACAGATTTGGGAAATGCTGGCGTCGAGAGCATAACAAAAGTGGGAGGCGAGAAGACAAAATCCACCTCCACCCCACCCCCCCACCCCACTGCCCAACAGCCCAACGCCGCAGCGCCATTTTTAATCAGCGAG